TGAGAGGAGGTGCACGCACACTTCCCTAAGGCTTGCGCTTCGTGTCTATTTCCCACCTTTAACCACCCTGAGTTCAGGGCATATACTACTTAACTGTATTCATAGCACTGCAGCCCAACGCTCGCTAAACCTTTCTAAAACCTAGGAGGTTACGCCCAGCGAGTATAACGTAGCAACCCTTTCCTGCCTTCTGTGTGTTGTTGAACAATACGAAATTCGCAGCGTGTGCGTTCACTAAAAGCCGAATTAACCTGTCTCTCATTTCCCCTTAGCAGCTATTGGCATGTACATTGAGCACTATCTTTTATTGTTCAACAACGCACAGAGAAAATATCTCACCGGCACCACCTTGGAGGTCAAAATGTAATACTGGTTGCACACTACGACTACTACTACGGCTACGAGGGACAAACGGGTGCCTCCATAAGGAGCTTCGCCCCTAAAAGGGAAACATTATTTCTTTAACGCTAGGTTCTCACGTGTGAAACGCTGCTATGGCAATGCATTCGCATTTTCTCGCAATTTCCTTTGTTGAGGTGGGGCATTTTGCTCGATATTGACGAGTATACCGTAATCATCGAAGCGTTCGAACAAAAGATGAAGGTGTCTGTGGTTCTCTTCGACATCGCGAGGGTAAACGAAGCCGAAGTCGAGGCGATGTACTACTTTGTCGATTAAGCGCTGAAAAGTTTGTCCAGCGTTTAACAGGCGCAATTTCATGAAAGAAAAGTCGAACAATCTCAAGGGTTGGATAGCTGTCTTCGAAACGTCGTCCGGATTCACGCATGTATGTTTGTAGGCCTTCAGCGAATGAACACGTGGCAGCCATGAATGCAATAGGCAAAGTCCTGCATGTAAGTGACGGGGTACCCGTCCGGGATGGCGCGCGAATTCAGGGTGCGGTAGTCACCACAGGGCGGCCAGCCTTCTGTCTTCTTCGTAAAAATTTGCAGTGGTGAGGCCCATAGACTATCCGAATGGCGAGCAGTTCTTAGGTGAAACATGGTCTCGTACTGTGCCCTGTCTGTGCGCTAAATTATCTTGAATTATCTGAAGCATTTCGGCACAATAAGAGGTGGACATAGAAATTTTAACCTTGTATCACCGTCTTATGCTGCAAAGAACGACAAAAGACGACAGTCTTCAGTACAGAGGCACTACGTGAAATAAGGCGCAATGCAGCATTATTGTAAAGAATTGAAATATTTCAAGAACGCATAGCCCCTCTTAGGAGGCAGCACCGGGTTGTTTTAGTTAACGCCTCAGAATTCTTTAGCAAAGCGTGAAAAAACATACCCGCTTTTCGTTCATAACGTCAGATTGTCAACAAGAGGGTTTATTTCTTGTTGTCAATGCAGCCTCTTGAACACTTTCCTCTTCAGAAACAAGTACAAAGCACTCTTTAAATAAAAATACCCACTGCCTAGTACCTACGCAATTATGTGGCGCCTCAAATATGCGCAACATATTTCTTTTTTTATTGACAATACTCAAAAGTATGGACGCACCCTACTTGATCATGTTGGGTGAGCGTTGAAGAAAGAGTTAAACTTTCAAGGGATGGCTGGACCTTAGGACTGGAGGACCATCACACAAACAGACAAACAGACAGACAGACGGAGAGGTAGGCTAAATTCTTATGTTTAAGTAATTCAAGAAAGACTATCGTCTCTAAACGTAGAAAGGGACACGTGGGGCAATAAGTAGGGCTATAATAAAAGATTTATGTTGGGATAATGTCAACTGCATAGGTAATTGCCATTCACTATATTTTGTTTTTATATAACTATCCAAAGCCACCATTCTCCTAAGCACAAGTTCTACATTCTGGCCTACTACTTTCGGTGTTGGTAATGTCCATGTTTCTGCTGGCATCCTTAAGCAACTCTAAGCTGGACATACAAAATATATGCGACTGTGCAGCATATGTCTTTGCATACATTTTCACATATCTTAAGTGCCACTTGATGATATTTCACCTGCTATATAATTTGCAAAGCAGTTATGCTTGGCATAACATCGATTGTCATTGTATTTCAAATCAGCCATGTTTTGTGTGTGTTTGTGTGTGTGTGTGTGTGTGTGTGTGTGTGTGTGTGTGTGTGTGTGTGTGTGTGTGTGTGTGTGTGTGTGTGTGTGTGTGTGTGTGTGTGTGTGTCGCATATGCTAGCCTAGCGTTCACGCTCATGTTGTGAATCCAGTAACATAAGTTGTGGTAAAGAGTCCACTACAATCCTACGTACTAAAGTCCACGATATGCACGTTGAAGTCACCTACGAATATAAAGACTTTGTGCTTCTAGATACTTATATTGTTTCGCCACAACTATGATTGACATCAGCTTGTTGTTAAAATTATTTTGTGCCTCACATCCACGCATCTTCCCGTGAAGGACGACAACAAGGCTAGGCCCAAAGGGGTATGCCCCAAACAGCAGTAGTGCTTAAACAATAAAATGGCTGAGGTAGAACAGCCCAAGGGTCATTGAAGGGCAGGTTTCTCTCAACGTATTTATGCGCAGAACTACAGTACAGTAGACAGCGTGTGGCACAGTTTTAGTGTGTCTTGTTCAGGCTTGGATAGGGAAAGTGACCAGGTTGTACGCAATAATGAAGGGCACGATTAAAGTGCAGTCTTCCTCCAAAGTTTTCGATACGAAGCACCTCATGGCGCAGTTTAATTCGATATGCGGCGTGACCACCCTTGCCTGCCAAGCACCAACTCTCCTCCCTCTCGTCACATGAGCGTGAGGAGGCGGCAGGGCACTGACTCCGCTTCGTTTCTCTTCTCTTCTTTATCTATCCACCACAGCTGTGCGCTCGTACAAATTGCTGCGCCTGCTTGCTCTGTTGCACTCCCCTAGCAGCACTGCGTTTCCACATTGCGGCACACACAAATGGGAGGGGGTAACATAAGCAGTAAACAACATACGAACTCCTCCACATACAAATGAAACAGACACAGGAACACGAAAAAGAAAACAACAAATAGAAACAAGGAAACACTATTACTGCTTTGCGATCTCACATAGTTCCCTTTAGGTGGAAATGGTGTCATTTTTCAAGATGATTGAAGTATCGAAAATCACCAGGCCTGCACGGAACGCGCAGCACAGGTACAACGAAAGCATGACGAGCAGCCTTTCAGAGCCTTTTCTAAACACTCTTTCGGTAAATGCTAGAAGCATTCCTGCTGGATACCCACTCCGCCATAAATAATCATAACTTCTGTGCAGTAGGCCGGCAATCACTAAGCTATTCTTCGTTACTTTTCAGATAAGTTTTGTATCCCCTAAACACTAGTAACAAACCTTCCAATACTTTATTGTTAGATTCAGTAGCTGACGACGATGAAGAATGAATCCTGAAGTGGGCATGTGCCCCAGGTGATAGGTGATGACCAAGCTTTTGTAATGTGTACGAGCATTGGTTGAACCACTTGTTACGCTATTTGCATTGTGTGATGCCTAATTGTTCATTTTCTGTATCAAACGCTTTATTACCATATAACGCGACTTTCTTCCCGACATTAAGCATGCCTGAGGCAAGTTTGCGATTGAGTCCCAAGCACAGGCGTAGCTCAGCGGTAGAACACTGGGCTGGCAGGCAGAGTACCCCCATTCAAATCCCACTATGTCACCCCATTTCTTTGGCGTTTTTATTGCAATATTTCATTCTGTGCGATATTAGTTACGGGCAGTGGTGGTGGTGGCGGACAACTACGGCGCTGTGTTTAACTCATGTTCTGATCTCACAATAGCGTTCGTTCAAAGTAGACGAAGGAGTGCTCTTCGTCGCAGTACAAAACGTGAAGCGTCGGTCACGTAACTCGAAGGTTGCGGGTGGCTATCTCTCTGATGGCAAGGATGATTCTCAAATTTATTGTGGTGGTTCAACGTTCTAAAACAACAATATGATTATGAAAGTATGGCTCCGGAAATTTTGACGACATAAGATTTGTTAACATGAATTTAAACCCAAGCACACAGGCCTCAAGCATTTTCGCGCAAGAGTGATTTTTCGCCGTCTTTCATTCCAATAATTTAAGTGCGTAGAAACACCTGTATTGCTCTATGATTTCTTTGACTTGATATTCTGTCAGGTTTGTTATTTGTATTAATATCAAAGTTGAGCTCTTCACCCAATCGGCTTTCTTTCATGAAAATCTGGTAATTTGCACATTTTGAATTACTTTACGTTCACAAGATTAAATGAAAGTTTTACTGTTCTCTTTAGACTGCAAAATAAATTTTAAAATCAGTTATAAGGCATCAACTAATATTAAGGCATTTTTTTGCGTGAACTGCTTTATTCACAGTTCATTGAAGCGGTTCACGCAGTATATGAGTCATGAGGTGTCGAAACAACAGCTCGGCATGGTACATGAGGTCGCATAAAAGTGTTGATTCTATGGTCTTTAGGCAAATTCAACCGATGTGATGCCTATTCTACACATTTCAACTCTCCAGATATTTGTTCGACAAACACAAAAAAACTGAACACCCGGTCATTCATATGTTTTCAATAATATATACTGAGAGCATAATGCTAACATTATAAAACATATCCCTTGGTGAAACCCAACACATTGTATTTGCATTTTCGCGCGGAGTACCTCTGCTAGAAAAAAGCATCACTTGAGTGAGCGTGGAACAATGGTATCAAAAAAACAGTATCCTTCACATAGTACAGACGGCAATACTGTAAAAAATGTTGATCCTTCTGCATGTACACGAAATTTCATATGACACACAGCAAATCTGCCACTGAAAAAATTTAATCTAACTTTCAAAGTCACGAACTGTTATATTCAGGAGAAGTGTAGAAAAAGAGAAGCGAAGAAAAGCAGTGCTAAGATCTCATCTGTTAACCTCAACACGTCGCTTCATTTATATTCTCGCTTTGAAGCGCGCTTCTTTTTATAAATAAATAAGAGATACTAATCATGAATGAATACTACCAGATGTCATTACATATGCAATTTATCTCACATAGGTACTAGACACAACGGACAGACTTTGGCTCTACAAGCGTAAAAATGCAACCAACAACAACCATACGTGCCTTTCTTGGCAGAAAAAAAAACTACAAGGCAGGGACATGATTACATATACATTCAATGAAACTTACTTCAAGGGATCAGAGTGAGTAATCTTTTACTCATATAGTTCCAAATGCTCTTGTCTCATGCAAAAACAGTGGAGGGAACTATTGTAAACATCATTAGAGGATGCTATTCGCTTATTCATTCAACAAGCACTACGTATGGTATGCATCTCTCTGTCTCTGTATATATATATATATATATATATATATATATATATATATATTAACCCCCACGCTTAAATTGACATAGATACAAAATAAAGTGGCTGGGGAGATAGCTGTCGTGGTAGCTCAGTGGTAGAGCATCGAATGCGTTATTCGAAGGTCGCAGGTTCGGATCCTGCCCACGGCAAGTTATCTTTCACCCACTTTTCTTTCTTCCCATTTATATTACAATTGGCCTAATAACTTTCACTATACCTTCCTTGGCATAATTGTCCGTTAGATCTCATTATTATAGTGTAAACATGAAAAACGAGCCCTTAAGTATACACTTGTTTCCCTTATTCATTAACGAGGGTCTCGTACTGGCAGACTTGGTGCCTTTAGGTTGTATACGAGGGACTATTTGGTCAGCTGCCAGTTAGTAATAAGTTCACGTTCTACGTGATTCCAAACAGGCTCATAAAGAGTGTGCCACACTCGCCGCCATGGCTACTAGTGGCGCTGACTAACACTCCCACGTTTAAATTGACATAGATACCCAAAAAAGTGGCTGGGGGGATAGCTGTCGTGGTAGCTCAGTGGTGCGGCGTCGAACGCGTTATTCGAAGTTCGCAGGTTTGGATCCTGCCCACGGCAAGTTCTCTTTCACCCGCTTTTCTTTCTTCTCATTTATAATATTACAATCGGCCTAATACTTTCCCCTATACCTTCCTTTGCATTTTTGTCCGTTAGATCTCAATGATATTGTGTAAACACGAAAAACGAGCCCTTAAGTATTATACTTGTTTCCCTTATATATATATATATATATATATATATATATATATATATATATATATATATATATATATATATATATATATATATATATATATATATGTACATTCTGTTTATGGTAACTTACTAGCTCCAAGGGAAGGGGGGGTTGTGTATGGGAGCTGATACGCAAGACATATATACACATACATATCGAGGTCTCTAAAATACATCCCAAAAATACCGTTGCAGTGTAATAAACAAAAAAGCATTACAGTTGAATGTATACATGTATAGATGACGCACGCATGCGAACAGTAAGCGAAAGGGTGCATTAATTGAGCACAAGAACGGAGCGGTTACAAGTCACACTACGTCAATCTTAAAACGAGTTCATGTTTAAACATTGAAAACTAATACCATGCGAGATAAAAATAAAGAAAAACATTAGCTGATCCTACGTTCAGTGGGACTCGATGATATGCGAAGCACGAATGAGGAAGGGTCTGAGGTCACTTGGAAATCAGCACAACGTTAAGATGCGGAAGTAAATTATGCCGTACATGACTTCCATGGCATGTTTATCGTGTTTGAACGTTTCATTTACCTTTGTTTTCTATTTACGTCACCTGATACCTACTTTGCTATATATGGAGCTAGCGAAACGGCCGTGAGCATGGTATGAGCGTAGCTTGTAGTAATATTTTGCACAAATTCCATATCGTGATTATCATATTTGAACGTGCTATTTACATTCATCGTTCATTCACGTCATGAAATACCAAATTTGGTATATGTGGAACTAGTGAAATGGCCGTGAGAAGTACATGAGCATAGCATGTAGCCATATTATACATGAAACGCAAGTTATGATACTCAGGTTTGGACGCGTCAATTACCTTCTTTGTCTATTCACTTCCCGTGATAGAAAATTTGGTAGATGTGAAGCTAGCGCAATGGCGGCAAGTGCGTCATGAATGGCGCAATGTACTCTGATGCAACGTTCCCCCACGCGCAGGCTGGGCGCAGCTACGCCACGCTGGCGAAGCGCGAGCACTTTATGATATGGCGTCAGGCGCAACCAGCATGATCAGCGCCCGCCGGCATGGCCCGGTGACAACAGGGGAGAAATGCGACATGCTGCGTTTCGCGCCAGTTACTTAGGCAGCTCTGCGTCTGCCTCTCTTCATGACGGAGGGACGCCGTGTGCGCTCAAACATGCACGCGTCAAAGCAACGCAGCGCGGCTTGCGCCTGCGAGTATATGAAATGCAGATCCACAATAAAAGTCAGTGGGCAGATCCGCTAATCTCTAGTAGGGGGATATCGCCACCTCGCGTGGCATCGCCGGCGTGACGCGATAAAACGAACGGTGACGCGCACGCGCCCCGGCTCCGGTCGAAGTGTATTGGCGACTTGAGCGTGGCGTGTATTAATTGTCTTACACGACACGCACCTCATGATTATCATGTTTCCACCAGTCACGTACCTACGTGATCTAATCAAGTCCGTAATACCGGATTTGGTTATGATAAGATTACGAAACGACCACAAGCGCATCATGAACATAACATAGTGTCATGTTGTTACATGACACGCATCTCATGAGTATATAGTTTGCACCAGTGACATACCTTCTAGATCCCTTCACGTCCCGTAATACCATATTCGGTATATGCAAAGCTAGCGAAACGGCCCTGAGCACATCATGAGTGTGGCATGTAGTCATGTTGTTACATGATACGCATGTCATGATTTTCATGTTACGGTCTTCGCTTCTGTTTGCCATGCACTCATGACATACCATAGCAGTTTTGCAACATATCATTTGAATGAAACCACCACAAGAACAGCAAGACCTTGACATGTAAATCATGATATTTATGACATACGTGTCATGAACTTCATATAATGACTTGTAAGTCATGTTCAATGTACAGTTATGGTACATCATACCAAGGTTGGTATTGATACCATTACCCAAACGGCCAGGACAGCTAAAAGTCGTAGGTGGCTAGATAGATAGATACGTTCAAAGTCGCCGAAGTTCGTCAAAAAATTCTTGGCTATAAAAAAACAATACATTTCACAGCGGCAATACAGTGGGGTGAATTTCCTGCGCGAAGAAAAAGAAAATAGCCGATATGCAGGATAACTGCCAATCAGAACCAGCTTATCTTAAGTAGTATACCAGAAATTTGCTGTGATGATGGTGTAGGACGAAAAAAATGCCATAATTCATCCTTGCGCTACAAAAAGGCATCTACCCGGTGAAGTTTGTGAAGTGGTTCGATAACATATGACGGAATGGTTCATGGCTTGTCTCCGCAGCAACGTGATAACGCAAAATATTCCAGAGAGTTATAGCGCACACACACACATATAATATATAAACCTATATATATATATATATATATATATATATATATATATATATATATATGGTGTCTGGCGGGATGGCTGTCGTGGTAGCTCAGTGATAGAGCATCGAACGCGTCATTCGAAGGTCACAGGTTCGGATCATGCCCACGGCAAGTTATCTTTTCACCCACTTTTCTTCATATTTACATTACAATTTGGTCTAATATCTTCTCTATACTATCCTTGGCATTATTGTCTGTTAGATCTCATTAAAATCGTGTAAAAACAGGGAAAAACGAGCCTTTAGGTATACACTTCTTTCCTTAATTCATTACCGAGGGTCTCCTTCTGTCAGACTTAGTGCCTTTAGGTTGTATACGAGAGACTATTGGTCAGCTGCCCACTCGTAACAACTTCACGTGCAACGTGACGCCAAACAGGCTCAAAAGAGTGTGCCACACTCGCCGCCATGGCTACTGGTGGCACTGACTGACACTCCCACGTTCAATTCACATATAAAACCCTATAAAGCGGCTGGGGGGATGGCTGTCGTGGTAGATCAGTGGTAGAGCATACAACACGTCATTCGAAGGTCGTACGTTCAGATCCTGCCCACGGCAAGTTATCTTTTCACCCACTTTTCTTCATATTTACATTACAATTTGGTCTAATATCTTTCCCTATACTTTCCTTGGCATTGTTGTCCGTTAGATCTCATATATATATATATATATATATATATATATATATACATATATATATATGTTGTTAAGACGTTTATTAGCCGGCAACCAGCGACCGTACACAATGACATCATGGCCAAGCACAGACCCTCAGCGCGAGCGGCGTCCTTGTTGGACAGCCCCACTAAGAGGTACTCAAGAGTTCGACTCATTTCAGAGTTCAGAGGCTTCGCTACAATTACCCCGGGGTCGAAGAGGGAGCCGCCTGGCAAACAAACAGCTTGTTACTATAAGTGGGTCATAATAAGCTTTCAGGCGCTTTTTGATGATGTCGAGCCCACCGCAGTGCATGTCCGAAGATTTTTCAACGGGTTCGATCAGATAGTTGACGGTAAAGGTGCGCTGGATGACATGGTCGGGGCCTTCGTATTTGGGAAGTAGTATGGAAGAGAGGCCAGCTACAGAGGTCGGGATCTAGAGCCATACAAGCGCACCAGGATGGAACGTGGGCTCAGAAGTGGTGGAGCCTTCACGAATACCCTACTGCCGCTCTTGCTGATGTATGTGAAAAGTTTTGGCAAGCTCGCGACACTCTTCAGCAAGCCTGGCTGTCTCAGAAATGGGTGCGCACTCTTATGGATCCGGCGTGTACGGGAGTATCGTGTCCATGGTGTGCGACGGGTGCCTTCGATACAACACGTACAAAGGTGAAAAACCGGCCGTGCACTGAGGGGCAGTTTTGTAGGTGTAGGTAACGAAGGGCAGTATATTATTCCAATTCGTGTGGTTGGCGGCGACGTGCATCGAAAGCATGTCGCCGAGGGTGCGGTTAAAGCGTTCGGTGAGGCCATTCGTCTGCGGGTAGTAAGCAGTAGTTTCGCGGTGGACAGAATGGCACCTCATCAGAATGGCTTTGACGACTTTCGACAAGAAGACATGGCCTCGATCGCTGAGAAGCTCTTGGGGTGGTCTGTGGCACCGTATGAATTGATGCAGCAGTAAGGACGCAACGTCGTGCGAAGTAGCCGCTGGCACAGTGGTGGTTTCGGCGTATTACGTTAAATGGTCTACGGC